GGCCTATCCCCCCGACGGGGACGCTCTAACAACCACCCACATCACCTCTGACTTCTTAAGGAAAACATAAAGCTCCTTCCCAAGTGACTTATTTTGGTTTTCTGTTATAAGTAGCCAAACCGAACACTAACTGCTCCCCTCTGTACCCCAAAAGTCCACAGGGGAGGCGGGAAAGGTCACACACAGCCCAGGGTGGCCAGGCCCATCCTGCCCACACTCCCTGCCACTCTCTGCTCCAGTCTGGGGGCCTCCCTCCCGTGCCTCCCCCCTGCCAGGCACCTCTTGGCCTCAGAGCTTTTTCTTTTTTCCATCGAGGTGAAATTCATGAAACAATATGCACCGTTTTCAAGCGTGCAGTTGCATGGCATTCGGCGCGCTCGTGACACTGTGTAACCGTCACCCCGCCCAGCTGCAAAAGGGCTCCATCAGCCCCAAAGGGAGCCCCGTACCCAGGCAGCACGGGCACCCCCCAGTCAGCTTCCGACTCCGTGGATTTCTACCGCCTGGACCCTTCACATAAACGGGTCACACACTCTGTGCCCCTCATGGCCTTGGCAGAAGCCGCTCCCTGTCCCCAGATGCTCTCCGCTCCTGCCACCCCGACGGCCTTTCGCCTCCCTATGCCAGCACCCCCAGGGGCTTTCCCTAGAGGCTCACGTGAGGGTTTAGGGAGGGATGCGTCTGTCTTATTTATCCTGCATGCCAGGCCCAGCCCCACATCTGGCACATAGTAGGCGCTCGGTGACATTTGGTTAACTGGACAAATGGGTGAGTGAGTGCCCTTACAGAGACGTCATCCTGTGTCCCCTCGGCTGTGACATCAGAGGCCCCTGTGGCCCGGGCTCCGCCCTCCCTGCTCGTGCCCATATATGGACATGATTTGGGACAGCTCTGGCCCTGGCTTGTGAGGTCCCCGAACCCTTCGACCTCACAATGCCCGGGCGGGGGGCCCGGTGTCTATAAGAGGCCCAGGCACCGGCCCCTGGCTCACAGCCCACGAAGTTCCACCTGCTCACAGGTTGGCTGGCTCAACCAAGGTGGTGCCCCTGCTCTGAGCGTCCAGGCCAACTCCATCCGGCGCCATGGCCAGATACAGATGTTGCCGTAGCCAAAGCAGGAGCAGGTGCCGCCGCCGGAGACAAAGATGTCGCAGACGGCGGAGGCGAAGCTGTCGGAGAAGGAGGAGGAGTAAAGCGGGACCGAGCCCGAGCCCGGGGGCGGGATGGGCTGGGGCAGGGACGGGGGACTCAGAGCGGGGTGAGCTCTGCCCTCAACGCCTTTCTCCTTCCCCGCCAGGGTGCTACCGCCGCAGGTACAGGTGTAGAAGAAGATACTAAATGCCCAGAATAGCACGTCCACCAAACTCCTGCCTGAGAATTTTACCAGACTTCAAGACCCTCTCGCCACATCTGGAAAATGCCACCATCCAACGAGAAACAGGAGCCTGCTAAGGAACAATGCCGCCTGTCAATAAACGTTGAAAAGTCATCCCACTCTCGTCTCCTTGTCCTTGAGAAGGGGGCTGGGGGGGGCATGGGCGTGGGAGGGGAGAGCAGGGGGGACATAAGAGTGACAGTCGTCACACTGGATTTTGTTGCAAACCCTCAGCAACACTGCACGTCACGACCAAAACCTGCGTCCCCAAACCTCCCGCCTGCCCAGTGGGGCACTGAAGCCGGGTCACATGAGTTTCTGGGGGCCGGCTGTGCACATCTCTTCCCAACCCTGCGTTCGTGACTTCAGTGGCAGCCCCCGGGGCGGGAGTATTGACGCTAGAACCGGCAAGCGCTACACATCAGGTTTCCTCTGTCCCGGGAGGCGCCGGTTAAACATTTATCAGCCTGAGTTTGACTTAACCAGCTCATCGCCCACCCAGGACCCTCAGCCCAGAGATTTCCACACTGAAAAGGCATCTTTGATTATCAGTAGATTAAGCCAGTTGTCACCAGAAAAATCATTCAGTTCAAAATGTTTTATTCCTCATTCAGCAGGCCTGTCCTGAGTTCTCATCCCCATTTGGGTACAGTGATGCCTTGTCCAGGTACCAGCCGAGCTGTGCTTCTCACAGTTCATCTTCAGCAGCTCCACGAAGGAGACACAACTTGACCCGCTTGAGGAAGCCAAGGTTCGCTTGCCCATCGGGTCCCAGCCAAGCCCACGCTGAACCCACATGACACTGCCTGTACCCAAACCCCAGTGAGGGGTGGAGATGGGTCACCGACAGGTCGCTGACCGAGACACAAGAACTCCTGCTGGACACTGGTCTGCCTGGCCCAGCCCCAGCCTAGGAGAGCCCAGCTCTCAGGTGCTGTGACACAGACCCAGAGTCACAATCATTTCATGGTGGCAGAGCAAAGCCCAGGACCAGCACTAGTGACCAGAGCTCTGAGATCCAGTTCCCTGCGGTGACATTCCCCGGCACCTCGGGAATGTCGGGGCTGTGACTTCTGTTTACAAAGTCTGTCGCTTCCGGTCCTCACACCAACCTCGCTGGCAGGTGGCAACAGCCGCCCGGTTTCAGGTGAGCACACCAGGAGACTCAGAGCTTGCGTTCAACCCCAGGCCTGGCGCCCCAGGGCCCCGGCCACTACGGGAGCAGCTTCCCACACCCCACTGGAGCGGGACAGCAGGTGGCTGAACTTGCAGACCCCCGGGTGACTTTTCTTTCCTAATTTGATCATCAGACTCTAGTCATGGAGACCGGACTGAGCAGGACCTGGGGTGAGGCCTGGCGTTCAGATGTTCAACAAGGGCCCTCGAGGGCCACCGTGCAGTGCCTGTGTCCACAAAAGGGAAGCAGCACACACACAGCGCGGGAGTGGGGACACCGCCCCTCCTCCTGCGAGGGCCGGGAGGTTAAGACCCGTGTTTGCTTCCTGTCACCACCGTGGCGAACGACCACGAACGTCACACAATGCAGAGTTATCATCTCCTACTTCCGCAGGCCACAAGTCCAAAAGAGTCTTGTGAGATTTAGCATCAAGGTGTCATCAGGGCTGAGTGCCTTCTAGATGTTCTAGCGGAGGAGAACCCGCCTCCTTGGCTCGTGGCCGGTCCATCCTCAAAGCCAGCCGCAGGGAACCCTTCAATCCCTCCTCCTGGGGCCCCCCACCTCCCTCTTCTGTCTTCTAAGGGCCCTGGTGGTTGTGTCAGGCCCACCCAGAGAGTCCGGGAGGACCCCCCAACTGCAGGGCCCTAAGGTAATCACATCCGCAAAGTCTCTTTGGCCACACAAGGGGACACAGTCACAGGCTCCGGGAGTAAGACGTGGCCATCCACGGGGGAGGCGTCCCTCTGTCTGCCACATCCTCCCTGCCCTCCGTGAAAGGGAAACCAGCGTTTCAGTTGCTGTGACTCTGATTTGGGACGTCAATGGGATCATCAATGTATACTGAGATGTCCGGGAGCAGGCAGGCGGAGCCGAGGGGAGAAGACGCACGTGGAGGAGACAGGGGCGCCCGGCCTGGGAGGGGTGCAGAGCGAGGGTGTGGCCTGAAGCCAGCTGCTGCGATCTGCGTCCCTGCCTGCCCGTCCCCTTGTCTGTGCAGTCTCCGTGAGCAGCTTCCCCCACAGAAAATGGGGATGACAGCCGCGAGGCGTGAATGAGCGAACGCATGGGACACAAACGAACGCTGGCAGGTAGCGACCCCGGATAACCGGGTGCCGTTCTTCCCGACGGCAAGCCGTGAGGACAGGTGGAAGTCCCCCCCCCCCCCCCGCACAGGCTGGCGCCAGGTGGCACAGCACCAAGGATGTGGGAAACTTCTCAATGACCACACGCCAATGCCCACCAGCTGGGCATCTGGATGACAAAATGCCGGTGCTCTTTCTTGTGACCCGAGGTCCCACTGCTGCCAGAGAGCGGGGACATGTTTTACAGGCAAGGCAAGGGGGCTGCTTGCCCTTCCCAGCCCCCTGTTGTGTGCCAGGGCCCTCCTGGCTGTGGGGGCTGGGCAGGGAGGGGACAGTGAATGGGGGGCGGGGCCGCCAGGTCACAGTGGGGGTCCCCTTTATATAGGAGCCCCCAGAGAGCCCCTGCAAACCAGACCAACATCAACACCAAGAGCAGGTGGGCAGGCCTCGGCCCTCCTCCCCGCCCCCAAGGCCAGCTGCAGCCTCAGCCTAGGAGCCGCCACACCTCCCTACACCATGGTCCGGTACCGCGAGAGGAGCCCCAGCGAACGCCCGCACCAGGGGTACAGGCAGCAAGGGCACGGGCAGGAGCAAGGGCTCGAGGGCCAGGAGGAGCAGGGCCTGACCCCGGAGAGCATCGAGTTCTATGGCAGGACCTACCAAGGCCGCCGCTGTAGGCGCAGGCGCTGCTCTCGGAGGAGGCTGTGCCGGATCCACAGGCGGCGGCGACGCTCCTGCCGAAGGCGCAGAAGACGCTGCTGCAGGCGGAGGCATCGCAGAGGTCTGCCCCCCTGCCGCGCCCCTCGCCCACCCCACGAACCCCTGGTCACCCCAGGCCCTTTGCACCTGCGCCACCGCACGGGGGGCAGGAGGGAGGCAGGGACCCCACCCACCTGGCACCCCCTTCCCCACCCAGATTGCCTAGGCACCCCTCTCAACCAGAATTTTCTTTCCCAAAAGGCTGCAGAAGGAGGAGGAGAAGATGCAGAAGGCGCTACTACTAAACTTCCTGAGCCCCTCGCCCCTGGCTGGAAGTTAAGGAGAATTCGCCTGCCCAAGAAACACCACGCGAGGCCATAGCAACTCCCCCACGTCAGATGCCCAAGCCCTGAGTTGCTGAAGAACCCACAAGATCTGAATAAAATGAGCAAAAGTCACCTGCCAAATAAAACTTGATGAGAAACTCGCTGGCCTCTTGGGGTCTCCTTTGCGCAAATGGCACAGACCTGGCTGCCCGGGGGCAGGTGGGCTGGGCACAGCCCTGAGCGCGCCTGGTGTGTTACCCTGTGACGCTGTCCTGTCCTCTGTCACGTGTGCTTTCCTGGTGCTAAAAGCCACACTATCACACTACTGCTGTGACACTCCCACCCCTGGCCTGGGAGTCCTTAACCAAAGTCAGGCTCTCTTGAACCAGATCCTGCCCCATGAAAGGGGTAAAAGGTTACCCTCTGGCTTCTCTGCCCAAAGATGGAGCCCTGAGTCACGACGTCTTCAGTGGCACACACAACAGAAGTCCCCAGGTGCAGATGTTGGGTGGTCGGGGGAGTGTGAATTGTGGGAGGAGAACAGTGTGTGCGGGAGCCCTGCGGTGGGAAGCAGGTCTGGCGTGCTCCAGCAAGAGAGCGGGGGCCGGACTGTATGTGGCCAGGTTGGCCAGCATGTTACCCCAGGGCTGCCCTCCCTCCGGAGGCTCCGGGGGAACCCACGCTTCGGGGCCCTGCCTGCACTGCTTGGCTTGTGACTGTGTCACTCCACCTCCCGTCTGAAATCTGCCACTTGTGACGATCTCCCCATCTCGAGATCCTCAGCGACATCTGTAGTTTCCAGGACAGGACACGGACGTCTTGGAGGGTCATTATTCAACCTCCCGTAGCCACTGAGGATGGAGGCAGGAAATCGGCAAGATCTGACTACCTGTTGGAAAGTGGATTCCTAGTGTTTGGAAATGACCGAATTTAAAACGATGGTCCCTAACTCCCCCACACCCCAGGCTGAAACTGTGCTGCATGGGCAGGCGCAACCTTGCGAAGAGAAGTTCCAAATGTCTTCAAAGAGGCCTGTGACCCCAAAAAGCTTAGGAGCTGCTGCCTTTCAAGAAGATTTCCGAGGATCACACTTCCAGGCCCCCGAAAGAAAGAGTTCTAACGGTTCTTTAATTTTATGGAGATATGGCTCATACAAAATGCACAAATTTTAAGCACGCAGCTCGATGAATTATTACCAAGTGTTAGCAGGTCAAGAAACCCAGCATTCCCAGCTAGCACAGAAAGTTCCCTGGTGCCCCCACCCACAGGCAGCCACTGTTCTGACCCCATCTTCGAAAACTGTCAACAGTTCCCCTTGGCTGAGTGCTTCTGGGATGGGAGGAGTCTGTGTGTGTCCCTCTTGCTTCCAGAAATTCTATCCCAAACTCTCATCCTAGCTAAGGGGGGCCTTTTGCCAAAGCAAACAAGGCAGATAGAGGTGGCACCCCAGCTGCCCTGCCCTGTGGTTGGTGCGTTGGGTCCCCGAGCGGGGTGGGCTCCAGGGGCCTTTGTGATGTCAGCGCCCTGCCTCCACCCTCACGGCCCCTCACTGCCTCCAGCTGCCTTCTCTCCTGTCCCAGAGAGACAGGCGAAGTGGACGATGGGTTCCCGCTGTGCCAAGCTCAGCACGGGCCACAGCTCAGGCCACGGCACGGGCCACGGCACAGGCCACAGGAAAGGCCACGAATCCTCCATGAAGAAGCTTGTGGCCTGTGTAAGTCAGGATAACTTCTCCCTGTCATCAGAGGGTGAGGAAGATGAGGAGGAGGAGGAGGAAGAAGAGGAGGAGGAGGAGGAGGAGGAGGAAGAGGAGGAGGAAGAGGAGCTCCCGGTTCAGGGCAAGCTGCTACTGATGGAGCCTGAGCAGCAGGAGGAGACGGCCGAAGACAGCCCCGTGGCCCAGCAGAGCTCTGAGCCCAAGCAGACGCACTCCTGACCCCCGACCACGACGGCCCGGGAGGGGGTGTCCGCGCTGTTCCAGCCAGAACTTTCAGAAAAGAGTCAATAAAAAGTCTCCGAGGAGGCCCCCTCCTCTCTGGTTTCCCCTAACCCTGTCCCTTCTGGTACCACGGGTGCGCACGAGTGCGGGGTGGGCGTGCGGGGGGTGTGTGGGTGCGCCCGGAGGGCGACCATCTGCCAAGGGAGGCTGAAGAGCAGGGGTTGGTGACCGTGTTCCTGACACCCAGCTAGAGGTCCTCCCGCTTTGAGGGCAGCGGATGCGGCAGCCTGGACTGGGAAGCGTCTCCGCCAGCCCCATCTCCTGGGCAAGGGGATTCCTCCCCCAGCCTGAGCACGCGCAGGCCTAGAGCACCCAGAGGGACAGTGTCACCTCTTTCAGCACCACCCCCGTTTTGCTGCTCTAACTAGCCCTTTCTTAAGAGCACACTGGCTTGGGAGTTCAGCAGACCGGGGTTCAGATTTCTTTTCTGCTAGCTGTGTGACCTCGATCAAGTCACTGTGTGTCTCTGAGCCTCAGCCTGCCCCTCCCTGCTTAAGGGGGAGCCTGAGAGCTTCCTGAGGGTCAGTGAGCCAGGAGACTTCGCTGAAGTGTTGGGGGGAGGGGGGCCAGACGCTAGGAGGAGCTGAACCACGGCAGGTCACCTGCTGCCCGGGGCAGGGCGGTCCCACAGGTGGGGGCCAGCTCCTTCTCAGCACTGAAGCTTCCGCTGCCACCCCCGCTCTGTGACCATCTGTGCCCCCACCTGGAGGCTCACTCCTGTCCTCTTCAAGGGGTCCAGCCCCAGGGGCAGAGACGGTGCCCCGTGAGAGCGACGGGCGGAGGGAGCCCAGGGAGGCTGCTGGGAGAGGCGCAGAGTGTGGCTAAGCACACCTTCCAGGGGAAGCCTCAGGCTGTGTCTGCCGCCCCTTCCCCGGCTCTCTCACCCGTTCTCCCAGAAGAAATGACAAAGGAGGAAGCACAGAGCTGGGGCAACTTGAATCTATGCTCCCTGGTTAAAAATTTTAAAAATTAAAAATAAATGAAAGAAACAACAAACGTGATCTCTGCCCTGCTCCCTTGCGGTGCTCCAGGCAGCCGCGTCTGGGCCCAGAAGGACCCCTGTCTGGGCGGTGGGGGTGGGGAAGGGGAGGCAGCATTCCTGGGAGGGCCTTAGTTTCCCTGGGGGCTCTGTTTGAGGGCTGCCTGACGGGAGGCCACCGCTGGGCCTGCAGAAGGCAGAGGGCGGTGGAAGGCAAGGGGGAGGTCCCACCTACCCAAGACTCTCCCCTGTCCCCACAAGTGACGCAATGGGCCAACTTTGTCTTTTTCTCCAAAGCCCAAAGTTCCACCTACCTGTCCAGGTGCCCAGCAAACATGGGTCGAGCCCCTGCCATGTGTCAGAGCCTACGCCAGTCCCCAGGGCCCTGACAGCAACAAAACGCAGTCCTGCCTGAGGGACGGGGTCACTGTCGTGAGGGCGTGGCTGTCGGAGAGGGCGGTCCTCCTTGGGAGGGCTGGAAAGGCAACAGCAGAGGCGCTCGCAGGTGGGGAAGTGGGGGTCAGCAGCGGAGGAGTGGGGGCTGTGAGTTAGGGGGATCCGGAGGCCCAGAGTCTTCACGGTGTGGCCCCACACGCTCCCCACAGCCAGACCCACAGGGCCCCGCACAGGCAGGGCCCCTAGAACAGAGCTGCCCGTTCCCACTAATCCCCGCGGACCCGACAGTGCCCATACCAGGTGGCTACATCTGGATTTGGATCCTGGCTCTGCCACTGCCTAGCTGTGGGACTCCGGGCTGGTTACTCGACCTCTCTGAGCCTGTTCCTTCTTTCTAAAACACGACAATCATACCTGCCTCCCAGGATGTGTTAGTTTCTTAGGGCTGCTGTGTCAAAGTACCACAAATTGGTGGCTGAAAACGACAGGAATTTATTCTCTGATGGTTCCAGAGATCGAGGTGTCAGCTGGGCTGTCCTCCCTCCCTCCGGAAGCCTCAGAGGAGAATCCCTCCCTCCTCCTCCAGCTCCCGGTGGCTCGGGCATCACTCAGCTTGTGGCTGCATAGCTCGTCTCGCTGCCTCCATCCGCGTGAGGTCTCTCTTCCCTGTGTCATCCCTTCCGTCTCTCACGGGGACGTTTGCCGTGGATTTAGGGCCCACTGCGTGCGGCATGCTCTCAGCCCAAGCTTCTTCACCTAATTCCACCTGCAAAGACGCTTCTGCCACATAAGGTCACATGGGCAGGTTCTGGGGGGTAAGACGCGGACATAGATTTTGGGGCCAGCATTTGGCCCATTACACAGGGTCACTGTGAAGCTGGAGGACAAAGCTGCCTGGAAAGGGTGGGGCCCAGAGCCCAAACAAGCGGGAAGTAGCAGGGTAGTTCTCCCTGTGAGTGATTTGACACATTTATTAAGAAACAAACTTCGATGAAAGCGGGTGATAGCAGATCCTCTAGACAAGAAGCAACGCTGTGCGTGGCAACACAGAGCGGGAAGTCCACATGGGCGGGACCCGCTGGGGAGGGACGTGGGGACAGAGGGAGCTCTGGAGGGAGAAGCGGCTGTGTGGGCCAAGAGTGGCCGAGAGCTAAGCCCGAGGGCCTCAGCCAAGACCCGGGAGCAGCCTGCGGCTCTGGATGGACCCGCCGGGCCTAGGGAGGTCACGCGGGGCCTGGTGCGCGCGTGCAAGCGTGGGCTTTCCTCCCCGTGCCGCGGTGCGCGAGCAGGGCAGTGCGGCTGAAATGCAGCTCCACTAGCAGGGAGGGAAGCAGAGTCAGGACGCAGGAACCCAAAGGAGGAAGATGGGTTTCCAGGGGCCTCCTGTGGCTTGACAGGCCTCTCGGGCTCACGATACCAGGAAAGAAGGACAGACACCCCTTTCGTCATAGATGGCCACCAAGCCTTGAAAACCACAATGACCTACCAAGACTGGACATTGGTGCAAACTGGGATTTGAACCTGGGTCTAAATCTCCCGGCTTTAAATCTTGCTGGGCAGGGGGGCAGTGGGACCCCCACCTGTCGGTCCACTCAGGTATTCTTATCATCCATCATGCATTCATTCAGCCACTGGGCATCTGACGAATTCATCACCTGCCCGACACCTATCCGGGCACTAACTGTCTATCTTACAGACCGCCGGCCACCCGCCACTGGGGTCAGGGCTGCACTATTGTCACCCAAGCTGCTGGACGGAGGAAGAAAACGCTGACCATGGCAGTCAATGACGTTTACTGAGCTGTCACTGTGGCCCGGGCCTGAGCTAACTGCTTGACATAGGTTTTCTCATTGAATTCTTCTGATGTCCGTACGAGGTCAGTACAATTATTGTCCCAATTCTACAAGGACCAAGGAGGGGGACACTAGGACTTAGAGAGATAAAGGCCCAGGGCTGATCGTGCAGAAGCAGCAGACCTGGGAGGTGGATTTGGCTTACTTGGTCCAATCTGACCCAAGGGCCCTGCCCTTAACCTCCAGATGGGATTGCCCCAGGGTGCCCTGAAAGCTGCCCCACCCTGGCGGTGAGGGTGGGGGGCTTTGTCCTAGCTGGGCCGCGTCTGTTACACCCTTAGCCTGTGCCATCACAATCGGCCCCAACTATATAACCAGGAGCCACCAGGGTCTCTGTAAAGCTGGGCCTGCTGGGAGAGGAGGAGGAGGAGGAGGCCTCTGCCCCTCCGAGCGTGGCCTCCCATGGACACCAAGATGCAGAGCCTTCCTATCACCCACACCCAGCCCCACGGCTCTCGGCCCCAAAGCCACACCTGCAGCCAGTGCAACTGCAGCCACCACTGCCGGAACTGCAGCCAGAGTCGCAGACGGAACAAGGGTTGCAGCCGGAGCTCCAGCCACAGCCCGACCAGCCACCGCAGCCCACCGGGGTCCTGCAGCCCATCCGGCCACCAGAGCCAGAGCCCAAGCCCCAGCCGGCCACCAAAGCACCACAAACAGACCATGCACTCCCACCACTCTCCCACGCGGCCCACCACCCACTGTGGCAGCTGCCCCAGGAACAGAAAGACCTTGGAAGGCAAGGTGAACAAGAGAAAGGTGGGCAAGAGGATCCAGCAGGTGTACAAAACAAAGAGGCGGAGCACAGGTACCCTTCAGGCGGGGGCAGGGGAGAAGGGCCCCGGGGCCCACGCGCGATGGGGAGCAGGTCAGCTGGACCTTGGGGGAAGTGAGGTGAACGCTTCTGCCTCCAAGCCAGGTCACAGAGGAACCACAGGCAGGGGCGGAGAGGGGGAGGGGACACAATGGCATGTGGCTAGTGGCATGCACGACGCATTGACGGACTGGTTCTTTAACTGGACGGGTTGATTGGGAGGATGGACAGACAGCAGATTAGCTAGATGGAAGCATGATGGGTCGAGAGGCTGGGTGGACGACTGGGTGGGTAAATAATTCACTAGCAGCTTGGTGAGGTAGCTGGATGGGTAACAGAAGCGATCTATGGATGGATGGATGGGTGGATGGATAGACACATTGGTCGAATGACAGGAAAGTTGGATGCAATTAGCCAGATGGATGAATAAATGGGATTGGATGGATGCACTCGTTGGCTGGTTGGGTAGCTGGCTGATTTGATTATTTGGAAGGATAGGGTCGGTGGATGAATTGAATGGCCGAGTTCTGATGGCTGAGTGAATTGATAGTTTACTGGATGGCAGACTGGAGTCGCTGAACTGATGGGGAGGATAGATAGTTAGACTAATGGAGCAGGATGGGAAAGGATGAAAAGCTGAATTGGGTGAGCTGATGAATGGGTGGATGATAAGGAGAAGGGATGGGTGGGTGGAAGCAGAGTTCAGTGACTGAAGTTCTCAGCTGTTAAAAGTCCTTTCCCTCTCCTCTCTCTCAGGGCGGAGATACAAGTGACGAGACGGCGCTCCCCGGCTTGTTCCTGTGTGTTTCACCCAGATGAGAAGCCCATCACGCATGGAATGCTAGGACAAAGTCAATCTTTTAGCAGGAACATGTTACTGCGATGATTTCTATGCAACATTGATTAAAGCTTGTACGCTGACTACCCTGGAGCTGGCATTTTGATTTCTCTAGGATTAGGTGTCACATTTCCAGGGGCCTGGTAGGGAAGCGGTCACGTGGGGGCAGGGACGGGCCTGTGATGGGGTCTCGTGAAAGCGTAAGGGGTCTCTGCCAGCACAGGCACGGAAATGAACAGGGAGAGATGCCAAGAGGCCTTGAAAGTGGATGGGCAACACTGCGCCTGGCCCTGTACGTTCCCACATGTGTGCACACATAGACACACACATGTGACACCCACAGATCCACACACTGCTCATGGGATCCACAGGTATCTCCCCCAAGAGCACGGCAGCAGACAGGCAGGAAGAGGGGTCAGGAATGTGCATTTTGCAGTCCAGAGCGCTCCTGAGCTTGAATCCTGTGCACTTACTGTGACACGGGGTGGTGGTCAACCTGAGCCTTACTTAGCGATTCTGTAAAGTAGTCTTCAAAGCTGCCACTTGAGCAAACTTTTACTAAGGGGCCGAGTCTGTTCAGGGACTGTGCCAGGCTCTGGGAACACACAGAAGACACAAAAGGCCCTGTCCTCATGGAGCTTGCAGTCCAAACACAAACACAAGACCTCCTGCTTAAGACAAGTTGTATGACGGAGTGGGGCGAGGTGACATGGGGCAACCCGGGAAGGCTCTGTCCCTCCAGAACAGCATGCACCAAAGCCCGAGTGAGGGAAAGGGCTTGTGTCCTATGGACCGGAGAGGCTGCACGGGCTACGCGGCCAGTGGCACAGGAGGCGGGAGCCCGGCCACGCGGCGGTTTGCAGGCCCCCGGGAGGAGCTCGGACATTGCTCTCAGTGTGAAGTAGTCACGGGAGGGTCTTCACTGGCTGGATGACAGGGTCTGGTGTGTGTCTTCAAAGATGGCACTGGCTGCTGCATGGAAACTGGATCGTAGGGGCAGGAGGGGCAGAGCGGTGGGCAGGATGGTGACCTGTGCTAGGTGAGCACTGGGGATCTCTGACACAGGTGGGTTGGAAGTTCCTCCCAAGAGCATGCCCAGAGTCCTGCCTTCCTCCTCCTCCTCCAGCAAACATTTTCCGGGTGTCAACTTGTTTAGGCTTTGGGCTACGGCCCAGGAGGGCAAATAAAGGTCCCCGTACCCACGTGGCTTCCAACTGAGTTAGGGGACAGATGTGGACACAGATTACGCGTTTCCTCATCCACAACGTGGGTGCAGGTGCTCTCGCTGGGGCCGGGAGGGGTGAATGAGGTGGCGTGTGTGAAGCACCTAGGCCCAGAGCTTGGCACGCAGTAGGCACTCAGCGAGCCTTTGCTATTAATTCAGCATAGAAAGGACTAGACGGTTTCTGGAGGAGCGCTAGCCGCCAGATAAAAGGCTTTGGGAGTGGTCACAGTCTCATCATGTAAATTAGCTTCTGACCTGCAACCCTATCCGCCTAGGTTTTAGGGTCAGACTCGGGTTCGCACTGGCTCCCGCGCTCCCGGTGGGGGGACGGTGGACCAGTCACGTCTACTCTGAGGCTCACTCGCCTTGACTGTCTGCTGGGGGTCACGATTCTGACCTTCCGTCTCAGCAGACTGCCAACGCCCGCGCCAGATGCGTGGCCGCCGTGGTTACCTTTTGTGTTTCGTTTGGCATTTGGGCTGCAGGAATGGGGTGAGCAGGTGGGCAAGGGGGACGGGACGGGGTGTCTGCGGTGGAAGGGAGGGGAGCCGTGGAGGAAGGCCTCCGGGAAGCCTGAGCCGGGCCGGGGCAGTGCAATGGGCCTGGTACAATCGGTCAATGTCAATCAATGTCGGTCTCCTTTCCTTGGGTCCTTTCATCTTCCCCTCACAGCAGGGAAATGTGCCAGGTTGTTTCCATGCACCCCTGTGAGAAGCCACGGGGAAGGGCCCAAGCAGACTCAGAAGTTACCATTTATTGAGCACCTACTAGGTGCCAGAGGCTTTGGCATAACGGTTTTCTACTGAATCCACACACCCCCAGCAACAGGCTTTGCCCCCAGTTTACAGATGAAGAAGGTGAGACTCAGAGGCGAAATGACTTGATCAAGGTCTCCTGGCAGGCAGGTCTGAGATTAGAGATTCATGCTTTGCCCAAAACCTCCCGGTTCCCTATTAAAAATGCAAGGCCACATTAAGCCATGATGATCACTGACACTGCAGCGCAAAAGAGTCTGAGAAGACCTTCTGGGGAGCGTATTTTGGAAGAGGAGGCAGAGATAGAGGGTCAGAGGTAAGGACAGGGACTTTAAGCCTCACTCACCGAAGGACCTCCCTACTCCCTGGGCAGTGTCCTTTTATGATATGATTATTGAAGGCAGCAGATCTTTTGTTATGAGCAGATGGACCGGGTCATGTGTGTGGCGAAACCAACGCCCAGCTGAAAGTGGCGCAGCACACAGATACCGAGTCACATAGACAAAGAAACAGCCATGTGCACCCACTCAGACGCAGAGACCGACAGTCACACGGAGACCCCCAGTACACACACGCCCCTCCACGTACAGGCAGGCCCTCACGCGCCGAAACACACGTGCAGGAACACAACTCACCCGTGCACACTGTCCTCATAGACACGCGACGACAAGAGGGAAACATCCAGCCGCAGGCTCATTCTTTCGCTGGCTTGGCTGGCGTGGGGGACAGCAGGTGGGCAGGTCTGCCGGAACCCCACGTTCGGGAAACAGAGAGAGACACCAACTCCGCCGTGGAGCGGGTACGTGGACGCTGACTCTCCGGTGGAGAGATTTCGTGTAAGTGGGAGGCTGGGGTGCAGGGAGGTGTGGGAAATACCGAAACGTGGCCTGGCCCGTGGTGGGGCTGTCCGCTCAGTCACCTGGGGGCTGTCACTCCTGCAGGCCCGAGTGGTCACTAAGCGGAAACCCAGCGGTCTCGGGTTGAGGGGTGGGGGAGGAGCGGCCGGGGAAGAGCAGCACAGACTGGGGCGGGGACGCCCATTTGAGGGGAGATTCAGGAGGAAAAACACCTCCACCTCTGCAGCCACAGACCCAGATTCAAACCCAGCTCCCCCCGCCCCTCACTGGGCAGCCTTAGGCTAGTCTCTTAACCTCTCTGAGCCTGTTTTGCATTCCTTGTTTTATGGAGATTCCGGAGGGGCTGTGCTGGCTTCACTGTTGCGCCTGGTCCACAGCACGGTGCCTGGCACACGTAAATATTTCTTGAATAAATGGAAGGAGGAGTACGCATTAAAGCAACAATGAGATGCCACTTGTGTACCCATCAAACAGGTGAAAATGGACAAGCTTGATGATGAGTGCTGGCCAGGGCACAGGGAAACATAGCCCTGAATGCTACTGGCGGGGTGAACATGCACAGGCACGCGTGCCTGAGGTCGTCCAGGGAGGCTCAAGGCCACGTTGTTTGCAGGTTGCAAAAAACGACCTATGTGTCCATCCACAGGAGAGGGCTAAATGGCCACCCCGAGGAATATGTGGCTTTTAAGAAAAATGGGGTTGATCTATACATGATCGATGCAGATTGCCAGGACATGCTATCCGGGGAAGAGGGTGCAATAGAGAAAGATGTACCCCTTGTAGAGGGGAACATCCTACATAGAGAAACACTATTTTTATGGGTCAAAGCACAAGCACGTAAGTGCACAGAGAAAGATCTGGAAGGACACGGACTAAGCTGGTGTTTGGGGTTACCTCTGGGGAGGGGAAATGCTTTAATTATTTTGTATGAGGAAATGAAAAATCAAAAAGCAAAAAACGGAACGAGCATCAGTGAATGCATCTAATCAGTGCTTGGCAAAGCTTTGCTGGATCTGAGACGAGACAGTACAGGCATGCTGAATATAACATCGGCCACCTCTCTGGGCTCGCTGTCTGGGCAAGGTGACCCAGGAGGCCCTCCCCAGAGGGACCCGGTGCCCCAGGGCAGGGACAGGCCAGTCCAGCCTGCTGCTTCCCCCAGACCTGCCCCTCCCATATGCCATCAGGGCCGGGCTGGGGCTGCCTACCTGCCTCATCTCCTGCAGGTCCTTAAATTCTTATCTTGTTCTGCCAGGAGCGCTCCCTTCCCCTCCCTTGGCGAGATCCATCTTCCTTCAGAACTCAGTCAAGGGTCACCC